GGAGGTGGTGACCTGTCCTGGTGGCGACCCCCGCCCCCCCCTTGGCACTGCCCGGGCCTTCTGGCCCTCCAGGATGAGGGCGCAGGTCTCGTCGAGCCCGCGCGGGCCCGGGTCCTCGGGCACCTCCAGGGCCGCCGCCGCCTCGCTGCTCTCCGCTGCTATCGCATCGTGGACGTTCGCAAAGCTCAGGCGCACGGGCGCCGCGGCGCGCGCGGCCGCTCTATCGGGGGCGGCACAGGCTGCTCCATCGGAGGCGGAAGCGGCTACCGGCAAGGACTCCGTCAGGTCCGTGGCGGCGGCGGCTACCGGCAAGGACTGCGTCAGGTCCGTGCCGAAGCGAGGCCTCTCCATCGTGCCAGCCCTCTTCACCTTCGCCATCGTGCCCCGCATGTCTCTGGCCTTGTTCTTGACCGTTCGCCAGCGGTCCTTATTGATCGTTTTCGTGACGTTCTTCACGACCTTCTCGCGCTCGCACGGAAAGAAGGTCCAGATCGTCTCGATGTTGTCGCGCGTGAGCACGGCGCACACCACGTACCCGTCGGCGCGCACCCAGGCGGTACGGGGGCAGCTGCGCCGGATGAGCACGATCTCGCCGAAGTATTCGCCCGGTTTCTTCTTGAAGGGGAGCTGGAACGCGTTCTCGACGTCCTCGCCCTCCTCGGTGCCCGGCGGGGCGCCAGGCACTAGCACGTCCAGCTGGCCCTGGTTCACGAAGAACATCTCGGCGCCCATCTCGCCCCTGCGACATACGTAGTCGCCTGGGATGTAGATATGGTCCTCGAGGACCCGCACAACCTCCAAAATGTAGTTCTGATGCGTCGTGTCGAAGAAGCCAGACATGACCACCCTGCGGTATATGAACAGCCTCAGGGAGAGCTCGAGTGGCTTGCTGAGGTTGTCTGACTTCAGCAGCTCCGTCAAGGCCAGCTTGTCGTGGCTCATCCTCTGGAAGTAATGGAGGCTGAATACTCGCCGCTGCAGATTGTCAGGAATCATCAAAAATTCCATGGCGCTTCTCATGAAAGCTTTTTTCTCTTCATGGTGCATGTCCAAAGCGTACTTCAAAGTCTGCTCTCGGGTGACATGCGAGATGAGAATAGCCACAACGAGACAACCGACTGGACCCATTATGGTTACAAATACGAGCGATCCAAAGTTCCGGTCGCGCAAGCTGCCGTCGCCAACAGGGTTGTCAAGCCCTCCAGTGAGGAGGAACACGGACTCCACCAGTGCCATCCAGTACAACGAGTGCCATCCTGATATAGTCTCGCCGTTGAAATTGGTCTCGAACTGATCGTAGCCCTGCTCCTCAGCCGTCTCGCGGTACCCAGTGCCCCACGCCAGCAGGCACGCCACGCAGTGCGACCCGGCGAACACCAGCAATACTAGCCTGCCGAATCGGTAGCGCCGCCGGTCACGCCACCAGATGAGGGCGTCGGGCAGGTCGAAAAGCAGCCACATGCGCGTGATCTTGACCACGTTGATGAGCATCGGGGCGCGCGCAACAGATGTCCAGAAGTGGCAGGTTGCAGTAAAAATCAACCAAACGTAGAATTTGCTGCTCACACATCGCTTGAGGATCTTACGTCTGTCCAGAACTTCCATACGGTACTTTGGGTCCATATACGACGTGTTCAGGCTCAGGAGACAGGTCATCAGAAAAACAAGATCCATGAACACGTCGATCACTAGGATTTTCGTGCCACCAGGAACCAATTCCCTCTCCTCCCACGTGGCACCCCATATAAAGGTCAAAGGCGCGGCTAAAGCGGTGATTAAAGTCGAAACCAACATGACCCCAGCAATTACCTTTGCTAGTTCGTGCTTGAAGCAGCGGATGAGGTACTTGTCCAGGGGGGAAGGGGACGCAGTATCAGTAATCTCTGTGGGGATGATGGAGTCTTCCTGCAGCAACATATGATGCTCTGGGTCGTCCTGGGATTGGTAGAGACGATGCATCATCGATAGAACTCCGCCCTGGATGTCGACCTCGTAGAACTTCCCTGTCTTCCTCCTCGTGGCCGTCCTGACGCTAGCCAGCAGAAAACTCAGCACGCTCGCGGCCCTGTGCGGGAACCTGAGCGCACTGGTGGGCGACTCGCCCGTGGGCGACTGCGTCAGAGCCGTCGCCCGCGTCAGGTTCGAGGCCCGCGGCCCACCCGGAGGGCCTCCGCCCCCCGCCATGCTCCAGTGCCTCCGGGCGGCCCGCGCGCGCGCGGGGGCCCGCGGGCGGAGGAGACCGCAGCAGCGACCTCGGGCAGGCGACCGGGCCACGGCCACGCGGCCGCGACGGTGCCCGACGCTCGCGAGGGTGTGGCCGCGGGCGCGGCGCAAGAGCCGCCGAGACGCTGCGGGGAGCCGTGCCCTGAGCCGAGGGCCGCGGCAACCGCCGCGGGCGAGCGCGACCGGAGCGGAGCGGGCCACGTGCCCAGCTCTGCGGCGAGATGGGCTGCCGAGTCCCGGCGGCGTCTCCTTCGCTTCGGCCGTGGGCCGCTTCCAGGTGCCCGGACCATCGGAAGCGGCTCGGCGAGACACCTCAGAACCTCTTCCCCCGCCCCCCAGAGGGATCCGAAGCCATTTGGCCGAGTCCCAACATCTCCCGGCCCAGAGATCCACTCCAGACCCGTCTTCCCAACCAACCTGATGTTGGGCCCTGGTTTTGAGAAGACTGCGCTCCGCGTCTCCTCCTCGTCCTCCTCCTCCTGCTCCTCCGCATCCTCCGCCTCCTTCTCCTCCTCCTCCTCCTTCTTCTCCTCCTCCTATCCTCCCCTCTCCTCTCCTCTCCTCTCCTCTCCTCACCTCTCCTCTCCTTTCCTCTTCTATACTCATTTCTCCTCCATCCTCCTCCACTCCGGACCCAGTACAGCGCTTCGCGGCCCCATGGGAAGCTCCCCCGAAGGCCTCAGTGGCGATTTTCGCATGAGTCTCCACCACCCAGTACAACGCTTCTCGGCCCCATGGGGAGCTCCACCGAAGGCATCAGTGGCGGTGTTCGCATGCGCCCCCCCCCCCCCCCCCCCCATCCCCCCCAGTACAGCGCTTCGCGGCCCCATGAGGAGCTCCACCGAAAGCCTCAGTGGCGACTTTCGTATGAGCCTCCCCCACCCAGTACAGCGTTTCGTGGCCCCATAGGGAGCTCCACCGAAGGCCTCAGAGGCGGTGTCGGATGGAGGTTTTCGCATGCGTCTCCCCCCACCTAATGCAGCGCTGCACTGGCCCCGTAGGGAGCTCCACCGAAGGACGCGGTGGCGATTTTCGCAGGTGGCTGCCTCCCACACCCAATACAGCGCTCCGTGCCCCCCCCATCGGGAGCTCCACCGACGGCCCCAGTGGCGATGTTCGCATGCGTCTCCCCCCCCGAATACACCGCTGCACTGGCCCACCGAAGGCCTCATAGGAGCTCCACCGAAGGCCCCAGAGGCGGTGTTCGCATGCGCCCCACCCCAACCCAGTACAGCGCTCCGTGGCCCCAGAGGGAGCTTCGCAGACGGCCCCAAGGGCGGTGTTCGCATGCGTCACCCGCACCTGCGCGAACCGAGACAGCTCCGAACCGGGGCCTGCAGCGGCCCGGGAGCGGCGGGGCGAGGGCGCAGGCTACTACTACGACTACTGCTACTACTACTACTACTACTACTACTACTACTACTACTACGACTACTACGACTACTACTACTACTACTACTACTACTACTACTACTACTACTACTACTACTACTACTACTATC